TAGAGAGTCAGAAACATAGATAAGAGAGAAACATTAATTAGCTGCCTCCTACACACTCTCTACTGGGCATGCGCCCGCAACCAAGGTACATGCCCTTGACCTGAATCGAACCTGGGACCCTTGAGTCCGCAGGCTGACGCTCTATCCACTGAGCCAAACCGGTTAGGGCAAGATTGTCTTCTTAACTGTGATATCTGCAGCACCAAACACCCATATCTGGCTGTTAAAAAGATTATAATATTATTTACTATTGGTATTTATATGAAAAGATGTCCATTATATACTATATTTTTAAAAAACAAAAAGCAAGTTCTTTTGACCCAGCAATCCCACTTCTGGGAATATATTCAAAGAATCCTGAAACACCAATCAAAAAAGAGTATATGTGCCCCTATGTTTACATCAGCATTATTTAGAATAGCCAAGTGTGGAAATAGCCCAAGTGCCCATCAGTAGATGAGTGGATAAAAAAAGCTATGGTACATTTACACAATGGAATACTACCCAGCTTAAAAAAAAAAGAAACTTTTACCCTTTACAACAGCATGAATGGACCTGGAGAGTATTATGCTAAGTGAAATAAGTCAGTCAGAAAAAGACAAATACCACATGATCTCACTTATATATGGAAGCTAATGAACAAAATAAACTGACAAACAAAATAGAAGCAGAGTCATGGATACGTGGAATAGACTCCGCCTGTGGCCCCTCCTCCCCACTGGCTTGGCCTGATCGGGCCCCCATCAGGGCGGGCCAGCCAGACCCCACCCATGCACAAATTCGTGTACTGGGCCTCTAGTGTGTATGTGTGTATATAGTTAATACTCACCTGCAAGGATATATCCTTTGATTTTTTAGAGAAAGTAGAAGGAAGGGAAGGAAGGAAAGACGGAGGGGGGGGAGACACACACACACACACACACACACACATCAATTGGTTGCCTCCTGTACATGCCCCAACTGGAGCAGGGATCAAATCTGCAACCTACATATGCGCCCTGACAGGGAATTGAATCCAAGACCCTTTGGTGCCCGTGCTGATGCTCTAACCACTTAATAACACCGACCAGGGTGATGATAAATCATTTTTAAAATCATTATAGGGTCTATGGTCCTATAATTCTGCATAACTATAGGTTTATTACTCCTTTAAGCAAGAAAACAGATAATTTAAACATTTTGGTGAGAACATCTCTAAAATATATACTTTTGTACCTTCTTCAATGGAATTGAATGTTCCATATGCTTCTTTCCTTAATAAATAGACTCAGTTACCATCATTACTGTTCTTTAATATGTTTAGGGCTTTTTAAATGGTTTGCAAGTGGGCCATAATATTAGTTTCAAACCTTGAAGACAACAGGGCAGAGCACAGGGAAGCCAGACTCTGGACCAATCTCTTCTGAACATCAGTTTACTCTAGCATTCAGTGCAAATATTACCATGTTGTATGAGTACAATAACATGAGAAAAAGTTGAAACACTGTCATATGAAATGTTTGTGTTATGTAAGAGTGCTTTTTTATTTTTCTGATTCCTCTCTTGTAACCAGAATATTATCTGACATCCTTATGTATTGAATTAAGGTTGTCATAATTTGGTGCTTCTATTTTGTTGTAAACTCAGATACCAGATTTTTAGAAATTATGTAAGAAGTATAATGGCTTTAAAAAATGAGAGGTTTTTCTTTTAGAAAAATGATGAGCTTTAATGCATGGAATAAAAAATACCTTTCCTAGATATTTATTTATCTCCTGAATAATTCCTAATTCTCCGGTTCCTCATAGTTGTCATTGCTAGATAGCCATGGTCCAGATATCTGAAGGTGTTATCATAGACCTGCATTGTGGGTACAAACTTTTTCCAAAAATTCTCAAAGCTTTCTTTGCTACACTTTCCACATTAGGAAAAGATGAGATTCGAGTGGAGAATTTGCTTTGGGACTGAATTATTTTATATTTACATTTATTTTATATTTTAGACTGAATTACTGCCAATTATGTGACTTATGTATAATCAAGCAAAATCTATATGCCCACCATTGTGTTAGGTTTCTGTAGGGGAAACAAGAATGGCATGATCACAACCCTTTTGTAACATATGGTTTAGCTGTGTAATATCTATTTACCTTGTTGTTTTTTAAATCAGAAAACGGTTTAAGGTAATATAAAATAAAGGGCAAACATAAGTTATAGAGACTATAGTATCACTGAAATTGAGAAAAGGAATCAATTTTCTACAAACTGAAGGAAATTGGGAAAAATCTCATGTAGTTAGGTTTAGAAAGACAAAGAGGATTTGCACAGATAAAGAGAAAGGGAAAAGACAACTTCAAGGACAATCAAGTTCTATTAACACTTCTGGTATCTACTGTCAGAAAAATTAATATAGGCATGATGCAAAATTTATTGATCATTTACTACATATTGGATATTCTATGACCAACACAGCCTCAAATACCTCATAATCCATTGGCTGGCAGCAGGGAGTGGTGGTGGTAGATGGACTTATAAATTAGATAAAGCACAGATTTAAAATAGTATAGTAGTTCTCATATTTTTTAAAAAAATAAAGCTTGAAATGAAGAAAAGGGATGTACTGTAACTCACGTTTTCTGCTTTAACCTTCCACCATCAGTATCTGTTGGATGAGACTGTAGTTTATCTTCATCATCTGACTGTGCGGCATCATTACTATGAGGGGAAGAAATAATTTTAAAAGAAGCCATTTCCCTAACATGTCTCAAAAATCTCTGTATATATACTTACTGTAGAATTAGCTAATCAGAGTAAAAATAAACTTTGTTAAAATGCTTTATATACACTTAATTTAAATGATGACAGTGAGAATTTAAAGACTTGAAAGATCAAAGAAGAATCTTTAAGCAAGGTGCAATGTACAAAATGCAAATGAATGCAATTTAGGAACTTAAGAAAAACCCATGGCAAATAAGGCTTTCTGCTCGGCAAAACATGTTACCCAGAAATGACAAATTAACTTGTAAATATCTTCCTCCTCACTCACCAGGCACATCATGTATTGTACCTTAAAAGGCTTTGCTTTCACTGAAATGATTCTTTAGATCAGGAGCGGGGAACCTTTTTTCTGTGAAGGGCCATATAAAATTATCCATTTAAAAATTAGCCTGCTATATATGGTCAAACATTTAATTAACTTACCTTTAATGACTTTGCAGGCCAGATCAAATGATTCTGCAGGCCTTATATGGCCAGTAGGCCGTAAGTTCCCAACCCCCACCTTAGATCTACATATAACCCACAGTAAAGTCAATCACCATACTCTAAAGCCATTTTCTGACCCTCTAAAATCCTATTTAATAACAGACAAACAGGGTAATTGGCCATAGCTTCGCTAAGCCTCCCATTGGTTAATCAGAGCAATATGCAAATTAACCACCAACAAAGATGGCAGTTAATTTGCATATGTAGGCTCCAAGCGACTGAGTGAAGACTGAAGGTGAGCCAGAGCCACGAAGACGGAAGGCCGGAGCGAAGGCCTGGGTCCCGGGTGCTGGAGGAAAACCGGTGCCGGCAGCCAGGAGAAGGGAAGGCCTATTGCATGAATCTCTTTGTGCAACAGGCCTCTAGTTTTATATATAAAATCTCTGATACTTAAGCAAGGTTTCAGAAGAACAGCATGACTGTTTAGCCTCAATATGTTTTAATACTATCTTTAGTATAATATAAATAATTTTAAAAGAAGAGAAATCAAATATGGAATTGAAGATATATAATATTTTCTCCTAATAACTGTGCAGTCCTAAGAGAGAACGAAATTTAAATATATATACATTAACTACTTAATTCCAAATTAAAAAAAGGCTGAATGAAACCAATTTAGGGACTATCGTAGTTCATAAACAGAGAAATCTTCACCACTCTGAATGAAATACTACAAATAATAAATAACTTTAGATCATACCTTACATATTCTTTAGTCCTTCTCATGATGTGTAGAGTGAGAGGATTAATACCTGTTGGCAGTTTCTCTTCTGCAAGACTCAAAGGTATTTCTTCTCCAGTATCCAGGTTCTTAATCATTACACTGGCTAAAATTTCCTGAGGTAAAATATAACACCAAGAGAACTTATAATTTATGTATCTTTTTGAGTCTACAAAGTCCTCAAAATTTTAAGCTAAGAACTTTCTAAATACATTTAGTACTGTGTACAATAATTTTTAACATTTTTAGTGAGAGACAATTCATACATTGTAAAATGCACTTATTTAAACCATACATTATTAAATGATTTTGAGTATTTTCAGAGTTGTGCAACCATCACCATTATCTAAGTTCAGAACATTTCTACTACCCCCAAAAGAAATCCCATATCCATTTGCTGTCATATCTTATTCCCCTTCTCTTTCTAATCCTTGGCAATCACTAATCTACTTTTTGTGTCTATGGATTTGCTTATGCTGGACATTTCAAATAAATTTAATCATACAGTATGTGGTCTTTTGTGACTGGCTTCTTTCACTTAGCACTATGGTTTCAAGGTTCATCCAAGCTGTAACCATGTATCAGAATGTAATTCCTTTTAACTGCTGAAAAATAGTCCATGTGAATAGATATATCACATTTTATTTACCCATTCATCAGTGATGGGCATTTATGAACTCTGGCTATTATGAACACTTGTGTATATTTTTTATGCAGACATGTGTTTTCATTTCTCTTTGGTGTATATATAGGAGTAAAATTTCTACATCGTGGTAACTTGATGTTTAATATTTTGAAAAACTGCCAAACTATTTTCCAAAGTACAATAATTTTTTAAAATGTTGTTTACGAGAAACAAAAAACTAAGATTTTGCTTTAAAACTTCATTCTGAATAAATTGGCCAATAGATATATAGTAAATTTTAGTGGTAAAAAGTATTGTGACTATCTACACTACATCATCTAACAAGCATGAAAACATATACATATCTATAATATCAAGTTTTTTTTAAGCCCACTTTCTATAAACTATAGGCCTTGCATTCAATATATTTATTCCACCATAGATTGTATGAAAGGGCAAGTTTAAGTCAGAGTTGCAAACTTCAACATATTAAAAAAAACAAAACCTAAGGTGATCTTCATTTTCATTTTTTTAATCTACATTATGACTTTTGGCCTAATAACAATAAATAAAAACTTTTAATCATAGTAAAATATACATAATATACAATTTATCATTTTAACAATTTTTAATTGTATAGTTCAGGGGCATTAAGTATGTTCACATTGTGGTGCAACTATCATCACCATCCATCTCCAGAACTTTTTCACCTTCCCATTATGGTTTTTATATTTTATGTTTTTAAGAACAAAAAAATATATAATTATACCTCATCAGTTAGCTCTCTCCCAGAGTTGGATCTAGGTCTCTGAGGGCCCATCACTTCACCTGCTATTGTCTGCCCATCAGGTGCTTTTCCATTTTCCTGAAATTATAATTTCATAAACAGAAAGTAGACTGAACCAATTTTTATAAATATTCAATTACTCATTACCACACACATTTCTAAAAAAAAATTCCATAATTCAGATAATGGAGCCTACTGAAAATTTAAATGGAATACTCCATTTCAGCCCTTTATTACTCCCAGAATTCTGAAAAACATTAGGTACCCAAACTATTGCTGTCCATGCAATAATGTGTTAGTCTTGAAGCAAAGAAATGTTCTATTTAAACCTGACCCCAAAGTAGTTCTCTACTAGTAGAATGCTAGCACAAAGATTGCCATTGTTCAGGGCTAGATTTATAGATATCTTAATGCTTTCTGTAAAGAGCCAGTTAATAAATCTTTTAGGTTTTTTTGCTTCACACATAGTACCTGTCACATATTCTTTTTTATAAACATCCTTGAAAAAGCAAAGACCATTCTTAACTTGGGGACCCTACAGAACAGGCCACTGCCAATCAATGCTCTAAGGCTATGAAAGGCTATATATTGTCTTATCTACCAGTTTGCTAAACTGCCCCAATCACAGCTACCACATAAGTAAGCCTTGAGTGCCAGAATTTGGCTGTGGTAAAATTCATTTCCATTGCTTCCTATGTATGTATGTATATGTGTGTGTGTGTGTGTGTGTGTGTGTGTGTATATGTTGTATGAAGTTTCTTTTCATGATTAGGAAAAAGAAATTATAAAAAATAAAAGTCCTCAATTTTATCCACTACAGTTCAGGTAAATGAAGATTGTAGTTGGTGTTTATTAATATCAATAATATTACAAATAGCAGCATGTGTCATTTTTTGAATGCCTGCTACATGGCCAGGTACTTGGTATACTTTATTCATGTCATCCTTGCAAGAAACCTTCAAGGAAGGTTTCCCTTCATTTTATCAATGGGGCATTTGAGACTCAGATGTTAAATAGCTTCCTGGAGTTACCCAACTACTTAGTAGCAGAGCTGGACAAGGGATGTAAGGAGTCCAGGTTTTGGGATAAGAAAATATCTGGCCTGGAGAAAAAAGTTTGATAATCAACAAACCAGCAAGTTGAGGAAATCTGACAAAGCCTATATAAAATATAACATGAATTTACCAACCTGGGCAGTAACTATTTTATCTCCACTGGTAGCACTTGCCAAATCAAGAGAAGGCTGAGAATCCTTGACTGTACTCTCTGAAGCCATGCTCGTAGTTAGCGTATCAGATGTAATATTGTCTTTGGGAACTGCAACAACAACAACAAAAATAATAATAAATACTTATATAGGACTTTATACATTAATTGAAAAGTGCTTTAACCTTTATTTGTCTGATTCTTATAGCAATTCTGTGACAAAAGTGATTTTATTACTCTCATTTTATATATGGGGAAACTACGATTCAAACAAGTTATTTAAATTCCTCAAGGCTATACAACTTATACATTAAATTTAATTTAGAAATTAAAAAGTAAAAAAAAAAGAGTGATCTAGGACTTGAATTCAAATCTTAACTCTCAAATACCATATTCTTTTCACCATCACACTGGCTCTCCAATGATAACAGATTTGAAAGTTTGAAGTCTGCTGAAATGTTCAATTATAATAATGTAACTAATCACCAATATAAATATTTTCACTTTTTATTACTAAAATAATATTTACAACTTGGTCATCCATGTAGTTTACATAACATAAACTAAAACAAAATAACAAATTTAAACAAGTTCAACTCAAAAATATCCTCACAAAAGTACTTATCTCTCAATAATACTTGCCATCCAGATCGGGTGTTTTAAGAGCCTCAAACTCCAATTCACTTTTCTTTTTTCTTGGTGGTGGAGCAGGTCGAGATGGAGGTGGTGGTCTAGGAGGTGGGAAATTAGTTGGAGGGGGTGGGCGTGCTGGAACAGGCTTTTTTGTACTAGCCACTATGTCAGGTTCTGGAGTAAGCTGTCTTGGGGGTTTGGCAGGAGCCAATTCTTCCACAGTAGCAAAATCTTTAGCAGATGAGGAGCTTGAGGATGCAGATTCTAGAACATCACTTCCTTTGATTTCCACTGCTTCCTTGTTCAATACTTCTGTTTCAGTTTCAGTCACATTAAGCTGCTTAGTTGAACTTATTTCAGTTAACTTAGTGGTTTCATCTACTGGCTTCTCACAGGTGTCATTGGAAGAAAAACATTTTTTGGGTTCTAATTCAGTTTCTTCAGATGTATTCTGACTCTCTGCCCTTTTGGGATATTCCTGTAGGACTTGACCTGTGGCTAACAGTCCAGGTATATTGTTAAGATCTGTTCCAGCCATGAGAGGACTGGCAGTATCCTGATCAGGCTGTCCTTTTCCTTTGGAATCCAAAGAGTCATCGTCAAGCTGAAGTACTTTCTGAGTCTCCTCAATAATACTTTCAATAATCTGATGAAAAGTTAAAAAGCAATTTTTAAAAATGCAGCCATTTACAAGAACACAGTAACAGTTACTCATTTATATAGTACTTACTTTGTGTCAGACAATGCTTACTATCATCATATACAAATGAGGGAGCTAAGGTAGAGAGGAACCAAATGTTTTGTCCCAGGTCACAAAGCTTGTAAGTGATAAAGCTGGCACAAAACTAGGGAGTTTGGTTCAAGAATCTGCACTCTTAACCATTATAAAAGGGAATCTGGGCTAGTACATGTAATCACAAAAGCTTAATCAACACTGTATAATAAAGTTCAAACATAAATTTACATTTAGAGTCTTCATGTCATAGTTCATTTACATATTTATGCCAAGTTAGTTGTAGTAACAGCCTGCTGATTTGAGCCTAGTTAACAAAATCAAGAGAAGCAAAACCACCTAGTACAAGAATTCAAATTGTTTAGCTCAAGCCTATGACAGGAAAAGCCAGTAGATACAAGGATATTAATGTTCTTAAACAGAATACACCTAGTACCCGAATAAGTAGAGGGATGCCAGGACCATGAAATAAATTCAAACAGCCTTGGATGATATGGTTCAGTTGGTTTAGCATCATCCCATGCATTGAGAGGTCACCGGTTCGATTCCCAGTCAGGACATATACCAGGTCAGGGTGCATACAGGAGGCAACCAATTGATATTTCTCCCTCACATTGATGCCTCACTCTCTCACTCACTCTCTCTCTCCCTCTCCCTCCCTCCCTCTCTCTAAAATCAATAAAAATATTTTAAAAGAGTTCAAACAGCCAACTCACTATGCCTTTTCCCCACTTTGTTTCTTTTTTAAAAAATATATTTTTATTGATTTCAGAGAGGAAGGGAGAAAAACATCAGTGATGAGAGAAAATCATTGATCGGCTGCCTACTGCATACCCCTACTGGGGATTGAGCCCTGGCATGTGCCCTGACCAGGAATCGAACCATGACCTCCTGGTTCATAGGTTGACTCTCAACCACTGAGCCACACCAGCTGGGCATCCCCCTTTATTTCTTTTCTATAGCTAAAAAGTACAGACAGTCTTTCTATGCATTCTACTAACATTTGGAAGAAAATATATTTTCTACCAGTCTTGTCATTATTGACATTAAATCTCCCAGCCCACTTATCTATCCACCATGCCCAATCATGGATGGCTTTGGCTTTCTCAATTCCTCGGCTCCAGAAAGCTAACAGAACATGGAACATGCTAATCTGAACTGTATGCTATTGCTATTGAACAATATTCCTGAGTTCTCAGCATCTCCCTTTTTTTCTCAACCTTCAAATGTTTAATACTAGACATCAATCACTTTTACCAGAGAGCTATTAACTATAGTCCACCTAATTTGACAATTAGGTGGTTACTGAGCACGGAGTGACTCAGTCTTAACAGAATCTGGATTCCTGTGGGTTTAAGAATGAATAAGAAGTGAAGACATAGAGACAGGCCTGCATAGGCTACAGTTTCAAAAACTTGGCTATAAATGGAAGAGGATGCAAGAAAGTGATCCAGCATTTTTATAAACTGATGGGAAGGATCCAAGGGAAAGAATGGAAACAAAGTTCTGGAGAAGAAAAGAAAGAAGGTCTACTGTGCATTAGATATAGCACACACATTCTCTATTTAATCATTAAATAAACTTTGTGAGGTATAGTATCTCCTTTCTACAAAAGCAGGTATCTGACGTAAAGGCATTAAGGCCCTGGCCGGTTTGGCTCAGTAGATAGAGCGTCAGTCTGCAGACTGAAAAGTCCCAGGTTCGATTCCTTCCAGTCAAGGGCATGTACCTTGGTTGAGGGCACATTCCCAGTAGGAGGTGTGCAGGAGGCAGCTGATCAATGTTTCTAACTCTCTATTCTCCCTTCCTCTATGTAAAAAATCAATAAAATATATTAAAAAAAATTTTTGCTCAAGGTTCTATAGCTAGTAAGCTACAAAGTCAAAACTGAAATCCAGGTTTTTCACAAAAAATCCACGATTCTTTATATCATACTACTATGGACAGGAAAAGAAACTAAATTCTCAACAATGACATGAAAAAGAGGTTAAAGATGAAAACAAGCTGACAGGTAAGGGAAGTATGGGATGATGAAAAGGAGTGAATTCAGGTTTCTTAGTCTCTAAAGCAGGGGTCCTCAAACTTTTAAACAGGGGGCCAGCTCACTGTCCCTCAGATCGTTGGAGGTCCGGACTATAGTTTAAAAAAAATTATGAACAAATTCCTATGCACACTGCACATATCTTATTTTGAAGGAAAAAAACAAAACAGGAACAAATACAATATTTGTATTGGCATGTGGCTCGTGGGCTATAGTTTGAGGACCCCTGCTCTAAAGTCTACATGCAGTAAGAAACAAGGTCATCTGCTGAAAGTGAGTGGGATTTTACTGGGCACAGTGAGAATGAGGTGAATGTAAATATTTGAAATAATCACTATGCATAATGGAAAGACCCATGCTATCAAAGGGGTCCAGATGAGGTTGAAAATCGTAAGACATTCCTAATCTGTTATCTGAGAACAATCTCTCCCTTCTCTGAACTCCCATCATTCTGTTTATTACAGTATGAGCTATAATATAAATACAAGGTAGTATATGGGCTAGCTCTGTACAAATACTTACTCCACACTGGATAATTAGTTTTTGGGAAGCAAGGCCCATGCTTTCCAACTCTCCATATGCCCCCATAATACCATTTTATAGTGTCAACCTTGTATTTTTCCTCTGTGTTTTAGAAGGTAGCAAACAGGAAAAAAGAGAATGGTGAGAATCAAAACTAAGATGGAGATCATGATGCTAAAGCAACTGCTTCTTCACATTACCTCTCTGCTTCAAAGAACTAATTGCTTTCACAGTAATTATAAAATAAAACCCAGATGTTTCAGTATGACATAAGGCATTCCCATAATCTGGCCTTAACTGTGGTCTCCAGACTTGTCCTCAAACATTTTGCACATTCATCATCTCTGTGCCTTTCTTTTGTTATTCGTTTCTTCTCCTATCTCTGCCTGCTCAAATCTTACCCATTCATCAACATATTTGCCAGTGTTATCTCCGATAAGGGTTTAATCTCCAATATTTATAGGGAACTCATACAGCTTAACAAAAGGAAGATAAACAACCCAATTAAAAAATGGGCAATGGACCTAAATAGATACTTTTCAAAAGAGGACATAAGGAAGGCCAAGAGACATATGAAAACATGCTCAAAGTCACTAATCAACCTGAGAGATACAAATCAAAAGGACAATGAAACAGCCTAAGTGACCATCAATAGATGAGTG